TCATTATTTAGAGAATACTTTATTAGTTTCTGTAATCAAACCCATGTATATATGACCTTACATATTTAATATAGTGTGTTACCCCTGTACAAATGGAAAAAATAAAAATTAGCACAGTTAAAATTTCCAAAAATTCAAATTATATATATGTATATATATATATTTATATTTATATAAAAAGACCAATAATAGCAGTATGTTATGCATCAATAGCAGCAACAGCTTTTCCAGGTTCTGCAGTCATCTGAACAAAATTATAGACATTCACCACATTGCATTAAAAAAAAAAAACAAAAAAAAAGAGAAAAGAATAATATCCAGAAAACAGCAAAGTTCTGTTGCTGTTTTGGTACTTGGCACCATTTTTTTTTTTATTAGCATCTTAGTCATCATCTGGAAAGAGAACATTCTAGAGTAATATCATTAAATATAGCTCTGATAAAGCACAGTCACTACTATGTATCATAAAGCAGGTACAAGATATTTTACATTCACAGAGGTATGATACAGTACTGTCCTACACATCAATAATACTAGGATCAGTTTTGGTTTGAAATTTGCTTTGTCTGCAAATAAAATTGCTACACCTGCTTTTTTCTGGGCTCCTGTCACATGGAAAATTGTTTTCCATCCTTTCACTTTCAGTCTATGGGCTTCTTTTTGCACTAGGTGTGTTTCTTGTATATAACATATTGTTGGATTTTGCTTTTTATTCCATTTTGCTAGTCTATTTCTCTTGATGGGTGAGTTGAGGCCATTGACATTGATGGTTATAACTGATATGTAAGGACTTATTATTGACATGTTATTGGCCTTTTGTTGACTCTTTTTACTTTTTCACCTTCTTTTAGTTTCTTGCCTTGCCTATTTGATTTGCTCTGTTAGGCCTCATGGTATTGTTGCCTTCATTGTCTTCTTCTAGGATCTTGTTTAGAATTCCTTGTAGTGCTGGTTTGGTATTCATGTAGTTTCTCAGGTGTTCTTTGTTGTGGAAGTGTCTTATTTCCCCATCCATTTTGAAAGAGAGTTTTGCTGGATACATCAGTCTAGGTTGGAGGTTGTTCTCTTTTAGTACTTGAAATATCTCATTCCAGGCTCTCCTTGCCCCAAGGGTTTGTGTTGAAAAATCTGCTGTGATTCTGATGGGCTTTCCTTTGTATGTGATTTGTTTCTTTTCTCTTACTGCTTGTAGTATTTTGTTCTTCTGTTGGGTGTCTGGGATCTTGATTATTATATGTCTAGGTGTAGTTTTTTTTGATTGTGGCTAGTTGGGGTCCTATATGCCTCAGTTATCCGAATGTCAAATTCTTCCCCTCTGTTTGGGAAATTTTCTGTCATTAATTCTGCGAACAGCTTTTTCAAGTCATTTGTATTTTCTCCTGCTACTTCATGGATTCCTATCAGTCTTATGTTATTCTCCTTTGCATCATCTAGGAGTTGTTGGATCGATTTCTCATGATCTCCTACTGTTTTAAAGAGACCTCTCTTTTCATGGTCACTGACTGTACTGATATCTTTTCTAATGGTTGTAACAGAACTGAACGTTGGGCTCCTGTGTCCACCGTAAACTCAACTGGTTTCCCCTCCACTTTAAGTGTTATCCTAGGCCCAGGGAGGGGTCTTGAGCCCCGTCCCCCCTAGTCAGTTTCTTTCCCTGTGACCAAAACGGGTGTCTTTTTCTGGGGTCTCTTGGGGCATTCCTTTGCCCAATGGCTTTTTCCTTACAACAGGCACATTGATCTTTGTCCAAATGGGGGAGATGCAGGTGCCACGGCTCTCTCTTACCTTGGTCTCTGGCCAGTTTCTTCAGTCTCCTTCCTCATTCCTTTGGTTCCTTCATAGTGGCCGCTACTAGGACTTGCGCTAACTTGCGGGTTTGGTGACCCTCCGTCATTTTCCGATTGTTGTGTACTCTCTCTGCTATCACCACCAAATCTTGTACACTTTTCTCACCTAACCTTTCTATCTTCTGGAGTTTCTTTTTAATATCAGGGGCAGGCTGATAGATGAAAGCCATTACTATTGTGGCCCTGGATTCTGGGGCCTCTGGATCCACAGGAGTATATCTACAAAAGGCCTCCTGGATCCTTTCCAAAAAGGCAGAAGGGCTCTCATCTTGTTCCTGCTGTACATTAACTAAAGCTTTAGATAAATTTGTAGGCTTCTTAGCGGCCACACGGAGACCCCCAATACAGTCTGGCGATAAACCCGAAGTTGCTCCTTACCTTCCACTGTGTTGTAATCCCAGTCAGGTCTGGATAAGGGAAAAGCCTGGTTAACAAGATCTGGATTTATTGATGGCTCTCCATTTTCTCCCGGGACCAACTTTCTGGATTCTATTAGGATTTTTTCTCTTTCTGCAGTAGTGAATAATATGCGAAGTAATTGAAGGCAATCATCCCAGGTTGGCTGATGGGTAAATAAAACAGTTCCTAATAAATCAATTAAATCTCTAGGGTTATCTGAAAACTTGGCGTTTTGGGATTGCCAATTATATAGATCACTAGCAAATGGCCAGTAATCCATAGGCTGGTTGCCTCGTTCGTCCGGAGGCCCAGCTTCCCACAGTGGCAAGACTGCAATCTGCTGGTCCCGCGGGCGAAGCCACTCGCCTCAGCCGCGTGTTCTGAGCTGGTCCCTGCTGGGGCAGGGGTTCAGGAACTGCCGTGCCCTGCTCCGGTGCGGGTGGTGCTGGTTCTGGGTTGGGGGGAGATCAGTACGGCGGAGGAGAAGGAAAGATTAGTTCTGGATCAGTCTCTCCCTGTAAAGGTAAAGGCAGGTAAAGGGGAGTGCTAGGCTTTTCGAAGTGGCCTTTGGGTTTCTCTTCCGTCTTGGTGACCAGGACCAGGGCCTGTGGCTGCTGGAAGGTGAGGAAGGATGGTAACCAAGATGGGAGGGGTAAGCACTAAATCTTCCCAAACAACAATGTAAGGGGCTTGGTCAGGTTGGCTCTGGAAATCAATTTTCTTCACCTTTTGAACAATTTTTAAATCTAGAGGTACACCTAGTGGCCATCCAACCCCACAGGTCGGCCATTCTGAATTACACGTGGTCTGATATTTCCCTTTCTTAACTTTTGCAGACAATTCCTGAGTCTGTGCTTTAACTTCCTTAAAATGTTCAATCATTAAAGGGGGGGGTAGTCTGAAATTGTCCCATCCTGTCTGCCTCCGTCACAGTCAACACAACAAAGAATAAAGACACACAAACAAGTCGCAAAACAACAAAACCAACACTAAGGCAAATTCCTCATTCGATCCATGAATGAGAATGAAACTAAGGCAACTCTCTTCGTTTGATCCGCGAACGGCACCAGTGCCTAAGTGTGGAAGCAATCCACTTTGCCTTTACAGAGAAACCTGCGATCGATCCACGAATGCTCCTGGGCACAACCCAAAAGCAGCCCCTCCCCACAAATCTTCCTTGCAAGGACTCTTTCGTTAGATCCGAGAAAGAAACAAAACAAAAACAGACAACAAAGACAAATTCTCACTCACCCGACTGATCTTTCTCCTCCAGATTGAGTCCTGGGGTCTTGGGGGATCCTGGATGAGCCCCCAAATGTGCCCAGATCGCGAAGTCCCCAAAGATGTCCAAGGAGTCGAATCCCATGTAAATACACTAGGAGTTTATTGCAAGCTCGAGCCTGGACTCTCGGACCTCACCAATGCATCGGATTTGTACCGAGAGCCCCTACTCTCTCCTAAGGCATAATTTTATAGAGTTTGGGAGGCTTGAAATCCTCTCTTTCTTATTGGTGCTATCTTCTACTGCTTATTTCTATTGGGTGTTGCTAGGGCACTTGTGAAAGTGGGAAGAAAACTATTTCAGGCTGAGGAGAGGGCCAGTTCAGGAAGAGGTCAGTGTGTTCAGGAGTGTGGTGGGCTTCTCTTATCTATACAGAACCTCCTGTCTCTTCATCTCTACAAGTTTTATGGTTCCCTTTCCCAGCCATCCGGCCTTGCCTTTATCTCAACTAAGCAAATTCTTGCTTGAGTTCACCTAGGATTCACATCTTACATGAGATGGCTTTCTGTCTTAAAATGGAGTTACTTTGGTTTCTGCACAAGTACAGGAGGAAGATAAGTAGGATAAACCTGTTCAAGTGCCAGTGCCTGGGGTGGGGAGAGGAGCACTGCCAGAAATATAAAAACAAAGGTCTACAGGCCAGGGAATTAGCTCAGTGGTTCCGCTGCCTGCCTTGCAAGCACAGGACCAGAGTTCGATCCTTGGTACAAAAAAAAAAAAAAAAAAAAAAAAAAAAAAAAGATTTCAGCTCTTGCTAATTTTCTCAATATTTTTTCTGAAGGATCCAATGTTAGAACGAGGTCAGCAAATGTTATTATGTTTTTGCCGGGGTAAAACCTACTGGATAGAATATCAGCACTGTGATTCAAGGTTGGAAATTGTAATGGATGATATGCTATGAGATGTTCTGAAATACACTAACAATGAAATACAAGAAAACATTCTATACACATCAATAGTAATGCTCAGAAATATATTTAGCATGACACCTCACTATCTGAACTAAAAGCCTTCATAGCAGACTTTATCATTCTAATCATCAGAATCTAAAGGATTTATGGACCAATGACAGATGTGGTGTTGAGATTTTTAGAACAATAATGATACTCAAGAGATTTGGTTTCTTTCAAAATCACCTACATTTTGATGACAGAAAGACCCACCAAGAAAGAAAGAAAAAAAAATCCAACAATTTGGTTGCCATTCACTCATTTGTTGAAAGTTTTGCTTCGAACTGCCAAGCAGTTTATACACTGTTCGAACTGATGAACAACTTGCATAATTTCATGGTTGTTGAAGCTTTAGGCACTATATGCCATATAAATCTTCCAAATATGATGTAGAAATACATGCCCTGGTAGATGCGAAGACATGTTACACCTTGAATTTTGAAATTTATCCTAGAACTCAGCCACCAGTTCTTTCTTGGTTCGGTAATAAACCGTGTGACTTTGTGCACAGACTTGTTGCACCTATTTCAAAAAGCAATCCAAATGTTACAGTTGACAGTTGGTTCGCTAGTTACCCATTGATGCTACATTTGCTAAAAGAACACCAGTTGACCCGCACAGGGACTATTCGAAAAGAACAAAGCCAAGATTCCTGAAAAAATGTTGCAAGTCCACAACAGACAAATGTATAGTACAAAAACAAAAACAAAAAAAAGAGAGATGAGAGAGACAGAAATACATAGTACAATCTTTGGATTTCAGAAAGACATAACATTGGCCTCCTGTATGGCAAAGAAAAGGAAAGTAGCATTGATACTGTCAACATTACACTATGATATTGAGATCGCTAGTGAGGCCAAGTGTGGAGGGCAGCCTAGGCTACATAGTGAGTCCCAGCCAGCCTGAACTACATAGTTCATGAAAAGTGGTGAGAGAGGCCACCACCCACAGTGCCTTAGGGGCGGAGACACTCGATCCCTTTGGAGTTAACAGCTTGAAAGAGAGTACCCCAACACTGGACATGGAACTATAGGACTTAATGTTTGCTCTATTGGACTTTGGTCTTGCTTGTGTCCCATTCCTTTCTATTCTCCTATTTGTACCTTTTGGAATTGAAATATTTTTGTTGTGCCATTGTGTATCAGAAGTGTTTAACTTTATTTACATTTGTACAGGGGTTCAAAGGTAAGAGTTTGCCTCAAATCTCAGAGGAGACTTCAGACCTGGGCTTTTCAGCAATGCTCAAACTGTTAGGATTTTGGCAACTCTTAGAGATGGATGAAACGCCTTTTGCATACAGGGATGTGCATAAGTCTTTGAGGGGACAGGGTGGAATGTTATGGCTTCTATCTAGACATCCCCAAAGCCTCATGCGCTCATAGGTGGGGCTTTTTGGAACTGGCTGAATCCAGGGTGTGTGATGCTGAGGTTAAAGGTGTGGTACTAAATTAGTCCATTGATTAGAATTAGCATAGTCCTGGTGGCATCACCCAAAAGGCTGGTACCCTGGATAGGACAGAAGGGAAAGGCAGGCTGGCTGCTTGGTGCTCACTGTCTACTGCTGCCTTCTGCTTCCCTGCCACACCATGAACTGTTTCTCCTCTGTGTCGCCACCCTGCCTTGAAGCCAGCCGACTATGGAATGAAACCTCTACAAACTGTGAGCTGAAATAAACCTTTCCTCCTTTAACTTTGGGTGTAGAAAATTTTGTCTCAGCAATGAAAGAAAGTAACTAAGACAGACATCAACTCTCCATCTTTTACTTGTTAGGAATCTGGTTTAACAGCCATCAACCTGGCTGCTTTGAGTAGGAAGGCTCAGTTCATGTGTGCCTGGGCTGTTGGGAATCTCTGTGCCTGACTTTCAGTTGCATCACAAATCCCAACTGTTGTCTTTGTCAACCCCAGAACTTCTGCCAGCCCCTCAGAGACAGATCTTGACCTTCTCTGTGCTTCCCAGCTTGGCCATGCTGGTTAAAGCTCCTTTCCTGCCCTTCAGCACTACTCATCTTTTTGACTGGCTTATGGGACAGGGCCCTAGAGAGGGGCGTTTACCTAAAAACTCTGGTAATAAATCTGCAAGCCATGCCAGAAAAAGGCTAGCTAACTCCAGCCAAATAGCAAAGATTGCATGGTCCCATGTAGCTGCCCAAATTACTTTTTTTTTTGGAAGGGAGATAAGAGTTTATTCAGGTCAGAGCACACCATCCAGGGGGACAGCAGGCAATTCCAACAGAGGAAATCAGGGTAACAGATGGGGTTTTTGTAAGAGTTTGAGAAAGTAGGAAAGGGACCAGGCAGCAAATGTGATTATCTAAAGAGTATCTTTTTCAAACTCATCTGTGCTCCTTGCAGATACAGGCACAGCTGCATTGTGATGGAAATTATATTTGAAAGTTGCAGTTTGGCAGGAGCATTTCCTCCAGCCTCAGGGAAGGCTTCAATTTCCAGTAAGACACCCAGTCACATTAGCTTGTAGGGAAGATCCATCAGGGCTCTTTGGGAGGAATGGATGGTCTGATGTCAAAGGCTTGTTTTCAACTTGTGTAGTTTTGGACAGTGTCACCATATTTATCATTTTTTCATTACTACCTGTTTGTGGCACGCAATGTTCACATTCCTCCTGTGGGTGTTTATGGTAGCACAACTAATAATAGCTAAATCTTGGAAGCAGGCTATAAACCCATGAAAAGATGAGTGGATAAAGAAAATGTGGTATTTATACACAATGAGGTACTACTCTGCCATAAAGAAGGTTGATCTCAAGTCATTTGTAGGAAAATGGATGCATCTTAAAACCATAACGTTATATTATCTTGCCTATCTTATGACTGCTTGGAACAGGGCTGGGCAGGAGAAATTCTCCCACTAATGGGCAGCCACAGCAAAGTTGCTGAACTTTAAACATAATCCCTCTAATGTGTTCTGAATATCAATCTGAAAATCATTTTCTATCTCTATAGCTGTGCTCTTAAAAAGGTGTGGACAGGCACATTATTCTAAATGTAATTCTTTTGAAAAGAAGCAATGTGTTAATGCTACAATGGAA